CAATAATCAGAATGTTTCTAATAATATAAACAATAATCAGAATGTTTCTAATAATATAAACAATAATCAGAATGTTTCTAATAATATAAACTATAATCAGAATGTTTCTAATAATATAAACACTAATCAGAATGTTTCTAACAATATAAACTATAATCAGAATGTTTCTAATAATATAAATAATAATCAGGATGTTTGCAACTACATCAACGCCCCCTGTGGGACAGTGGTAAGTCTAGAGACGTTAAAACCCGGGGTTCGATTCCCCATGATGGAAACAGTAGATAGCCCCTTGTAGCTTTGCTCGAAAATAAATAAACTATATAAACGATAAAAAAAGATGATAACCACTTAAAAATAACTACGATATGCCTAGCCTCATAAGTAATACACATAATATTTGTAACTACACAAAGAATGTGTAACCATAGAAACAATACTCAGGGTGTCTGTAACTACGTAAACAACGTTCAGGATACTAAAATATGTAATCATAGTAAATTTTGACATCAGATGTTTCTGACTCTTTTTTTAGGTTTAAATATTTGAGTTTAAGTCTGGAAGTAAATTTGAATAACGCATTATTTAAATTGCGACAAAATAAGGGATTGTTGATATTACAGCCAGCATTTTTTTTTCTTTATCGTATTCTTCTTTGATCAGAAGTTATTTATACTAACAACAGATTCCTGGAACAATCATCCCCTAGGTTGTAGATTAAACATTCTTTTCTGCAGAATTTTTTAACTACACAATATTTTACAAAGTTACGGACTTTAATTAGAACAAAAGCGCCTATAGATATTTCAGCCTAATATTTTTGGACGTTTCCAAAAAAGTACTTTTAAAATACGTTTTCTCTTTAAGTGATATTAATTTATGGGTTACGTCAATGAAAGTGAAATGTTACGTAATGTGCTTTTAATACAAAATTGTATTAGCCAAACATTTAATTTCATTTTGGTTTACGTGTTATGACAAAAACCTAAACATTTCCGTGAGACTAAAAGATGTAGCCGTCTCCAGCCATTATGATGTAGTAGTATGATTACCGAGAGTGGTTTCAGTAAATAACACTTTACAATTTTCCCCCTAATTATACTTACTAAAACGTCCAAATAAGGTAAAGAGTTGTTATCCCAATTTTATCTCTGCTTTTTATCATAGTGTGGACAGATTTTCAAGCATATCTTGTAAACAGGAAGATATTAATAACGAGTCGTTATAAATCAAGTACGTAGCAATAGAGAAACGTTTTAAACCCGGTATTGTTGACAGAGCTATTTAAACCCGGTATTGTTGACAGAGCTATTTAGACCCGGTATTGTTGACAGGGTATTGTTGACAGAGCTATTTAAACCCGGTATTGTTGACAGAGCTATTTAGACCCGGTATTGTTGACAGGGTATTGTTGAC